AAATGTGCTTATGGTTTAGCATACCAGGTCAATAGATGACATGAGTTAGTGGTTTCAATAATTGTGCCACAAGTACCACTTTTTGTGTCTTAGCAATTGCAAAAAACTGTAATTAAAGCTCAAGACAACTGAAATGCAGATTGTTGAAAAATCACAGCCACGGGTGTGATATGCATCATCAGAGCTGATGCAGCAGTTTTTATGGCACTAACAAACTAATTACTGTAACCTAAAATAAATAAGAAAACAGCACATTAATACATACAAAAGAGAAAGACCATACACAAAGTAGCAATTTAACTAGAATAATTGGATTCTTTAAAACCTGAACCCAGTTACATTCCCTTCTATACCCACCAGTCTTGTCTATTGGGAATGTATTGTAGGTTCACTTAATGCTTTGAACAAAGGTCATGAAAAGTTTGGGAAAAAAAGGTAAAACATGTCCTTTTACACCACTTATATTCAACAGCTGTTTCATAGAACTAATTACTTGGACTCCTACATGGAGACTCGTACAACTGATCCAATGAAGTAGAACTCCCTCTGTTTGGTAGTTCTCCCTCTCTTGTGTTTTTTTCAGTAGAGAATCAGTGTTGTCATTGTTAATTTTTTGACCAGTCAAAGGCTGTCTCTTCCCAAGAAACTATGACATATGGACATAGAAAGGTCATTCAAGGTGCATGCAACCCTGCAACACATATGCATTTTACAGACTACAGTGAAACAGGAGGCAGACATGGAGTGGAGGATAGGCACACCCCCTGAAGCTGTCCAAAAAATTTGCAGCCACCTGAGCAAACCACAAGGTGCTAGCATGTGTGTGGAGTTAAATATTTTGATAATGTATTTTGTGTCATTTCCATTGGTATTTTATAATGGTATGAAAGCTATCACCAAGGCAGTTGAGAAACAGATTAAACATGAGCTCCGAGCACATGGGCTATACTACAGATTTAATAAAAGTGTACAGTGTAAAACACATTGAACTACAGCAGAGGTATGAGACATTTATTCAGCGGTGCAGTGATAAATAAAAAACTGGATAGACTGTCATTGGATTGGAGCAAACAATTATTATCCTCTTTATTAAAGTAATTTTGTATATTTTACTAAATGATAGAATATATTTAGGAAGCAGTTGGTAATGTGTTGATGGCATTTTTTTTTTTTTCATGTTTTTTTCTTAGCCCAAGATCCCTGTATGTTTTGTGTCTGTCTGTTGTATTTTTGATATGTTTTTGTGGTGTTATCTGTCCTTGTTTGTATCTTTATATGAAACATTTTTTTTTATCTTATTTTGCTGCCCATCTTGACCAGGACTCCCTGGCAGAAGAGATATTGTATCTCAATGGGACCTTCCTGGTTAAATAAAGGATAAATAAAATAAATAAATAAAGGCTCCAGACCTATAAATATTCATATAAAACACAGTTCTTTCACGTCTTTTACCACCTTCTTACTTGGATCAGGATACGTTCATCCTTTTCTTAACTGGAACATAGATTTCTACCTTAAGGAAGACAACATCCAGTTTATCAAGACCCTCTGAACAGTCCATCATGGCCACTCACTTTCAAAACGAATCACAGAAAGAGAAAGAGGAGAAGGATACTGATATCAGTAGTGTAGGGCAATTTGCAGGACCACATCTCCTGCAAACCCCCCAAAAGAGTGCAAGTATTTACCTTTGGGCTCGTAGGAGGTCAGGAGGGTGCAATAGATATCTGGAAACCTCAGTTACCTTGCAACACCCATCAAACGTGACTATTAAGCAACTCAACCGGGTGGTAGCGGCAATCCATCCCATGTCGCTAATCTCTGGTCAGCAGGTCACGCTCAGGGCAGCTGCATCCTGGACTCTGTCTGCTGCCAGGCAACCTACAGCACAGCCATACTCAGGACTCTGTTCATCTCTTGGCAAACGTATAGAATATGGCCATTCTTATGTGCAACATAATCATGTTTGGTGTTATTTGAAAGCTAATTTCACATGCATGTCAATGATGTATGTAGCAGGGAGGTACAATGGGTTCATAATAAAGATTGTGATATGTGGCACAAAAGTGAACAGTGAGCAATGCCCTTATAGTCGCATTCCTCACCTGCTGACACCCCTCCTACCCCCCTGGTTACCACGGTATTTGTAATTTCTGAATCATGACTATGCTGTTGTTTTCAGAACTTATCATATTTGGTCATGGCGCCAAAGTCCAAATACCACATTTGATGTTCAGGTATATAGGGGGGAAACTGGCATAGTTCGGGGAGACTCGTTAGCACGACCTCCTGCGCACTTTTGTGTATAGCCAATTCATTATTCTTTGCCTCTCTGTTACTCTGTTTTTTCCATTGCCTTGTCTACTGTTTATTATTTTGGATAACCATACATTGTAACAATAAATTCATTTATTGTAACTCGATGCTCATCATCCGTCTTACTCGCTGCAGCTGATCACTGTACGGTAAGATAACTTCTAATTACACGCTCATAGAATCATTATGCTGTTGGTATACTCCGTAGTCCCTCGCCTATACAACTAGTGCCACTTTAGGTCAAGCTCAGGCCACAGGCATGTATGCATCTCCATGAGAGACTGCAACCCGTATAGAGCAACACTACGCGAGACCAGAGGCTACAGTCCCTCGGTTGCATATATAAGCATTCTATCTTAGCGATTAGCAGAGAAGCATTTGAGTAGTCCGGTTACTAAATTAAAATACGTTAGCAATAACAAAATTGGAGTCAGATGTATCAAAACAGTTATATTTAATGAATTCTGTTCCCGAACCACCAAAGGTAAGACAGCACGCCATCCTTCGCCACTCGCTCACTTCTGTTGTTGGTGTGTTCGAGTGAGAGCTCTACAAGCAGCTCTACAGTAGCGCACAAATAATAACAGTACTAACAGCAACTTAATTATTGCAACACATTAAACACCCTAGCAGTGCATTACATTGTCATTTAGCAGACATTCTTATCCAGAGAGACTTGCATCAGTTTCAATTTTACGGACGTTTATACAGCTGGATAATTAGGCAACTGTGGGTTAGGTACCTTGTCTAACGGTACGATAGCAGTACCCCAGCAGGGATTCAAAGCAGCAACCCTGCTCCTCACCACTACACCACACTGCAGACCCATTGCAAACAACAGATGAAAACTGATTCTATGCTGTTGATGCTATCTATGTCAGATGCACGTGGACTAACATCAGAAACACATAGTTAACCCACAGGATGTCAGTTGGTGGAAGGTAGATACTTACCGTGTTTTTTGTCCCGGTAGCACAACCATTTATATATTGTTGAAATTCCATATGACTCCATACTTTAGGTCAGCCTAGCTAGGTATGAATCTTCCATCAGATCACTGGTTTGCTAAATGTATTTGTCTCAGCTACATGGCCTTACATCATATATTTTTGTTGAGTATTACTGCTGCCATAAATTTTTGGTATGGACTTGACCATGTTCTGTATCATTTCATTTTTTTAGCAGCAATCTGGCTCCCTAAATAATTCCATGCACTGTCAGGTAATGTTGCTAGCTTCATAATGAATCAAAACTGCAAAGGCACATACCTGCCAACCAACAATTTCTGTTGTTTTGGTTATTATTCATGGAACAGCTGTGATTTCACTGGTGGTTACTCCTGTAGAAAAAAAAAATATTCTAAAGATCATACTTTATTTCCAGAGTTAAACCTCATCATTGTGAAATATTTAAGTCAGAAGAAGCAGTGGTGTGTCATTATTCTAACTCAGAAGTTAGTTACACCACTTGGGGGACTCAAACCACTGATCTTCTGGGTGTGAATAAACAACTGGTTGACATGATTCACTAAAACCTTCAGTACAGTGTATTTCCAGGACCAAAAGTGGACCTCTTAAGCGTGACCTGAGAGTATTGCTCATTTATGTTTTTGCCAGATAGTGGCCGATCTCAAAAGTCTGAAAACAATCTTGAGAAGCAGTGTGACTGTGGTAAGGATGTAAACATTTGTAAATTACTTACTCACTGTAAATTACTTACTCAAGTCCCTTTGCTTTAAAATCCCTCAGAGGGTGTTGATATGATTTTAACATTTATTATGTCATCAGGAAATTTAGTATTTGATGACTACTTTGAGTGACACTAAGAGGGAACACATGCTCATAGATGGGCATTGGCAGATTACAGTGAGCTACTTAGAAGGGAACCATCAATTGAACTTTCCTGGCTTGTTTGAGAGGTAACTTAAGATGGTCTGTTTCATCTGCTGTGAAAACATTACTGTATGTCAAAATCAATTAATGTCAGAGACCAGAAGTGTTTTTCAACCCTCAACCTTCAAAACTCAGGTTGATTCTTTGCAATGTTGTAGAGGTGAATATAAAAATATTAAACACCATTCAAAACTGTGAACTTGGATAAATAATTAATTACACATTATTTTTTATACATATAATTATACATTATCTTCATTTGTCACCTTAATGTGACCACTTTACTGCCAAAATGAGTAGCTGCAGATCTAATCAGCAATGAATGTTTTGTATAAAAAAACATTTTAAGGAGTGAAACTGTATAGGGTTCATTTTTAGAATGTTGTTATAATACTGTAGTTATATCATTATTAAGAGTGTAGACACACTGTATGCTTTTCCTCCTTTATGCAATCCTATTTTAGAATTGGCAGTGGCAAATAGTAGTAGGCTCGTCTCACTGCAACAACCTTTATGCTTGCGCAGAAGCTCTGAGGTGAGATGATTGCAATCCTCTGATACAGTTACATGCAGCCAATGGCTGTTTTCCAGACTGCAAGCCACACAACACGCTACAGCAGAGTGGGTGCCAATGGGAGGATACACACTACTTTGCTGATATCATATGAGCACCCAACGAATCACAGTATGCCTGAGCGTGGTGAGATGAGCAACTCCTGCCAACATGACCACCTTCTCCTGTTGGAACTAAGCCAGTTTGTTCCACCACTCTTGGCTCCCTATCTTTGTTAGCTTCAAACCCAGAATCAAACTTAGGCTGTAGAGCTCAGCTTCCATTCAAGGCTTGCACCTTAACCACTCGGTTATTCTGAAACTAACAACATGATTTCTTGAGTTGTGACGTTTATATTAGTCGAATATCAACCTTCTATCAATCAATTATGATTTCAGTTTTTTTCCCTTTTTTGCAGCATGCAGTTCTCACCCCTTTTGTTTTGAGAACAATGGTTCATTCAGACACTTCAGTTTTGTTGTTTAGTTCTTATATGTAGTGCTAATGTTATGTAAATGCTTTCCCATTTGAATAAACCCCCATTTTCAAATAAGGTCTTTGAAATGTTTAACGACACTCAATATTGATCAGTGTTAAGTTGAGTATATTTCATGATTTTGTCAAATTTTCTAAAATGGCTTGTCACTTTTTTATTAGTACATGATAAATTGAAACCATTAAATGTTTTCCAGCAAGCCGGAAGAAAATTAACTTGATGGAACTTAATTAACCTTATGTTTTGTGATGCTGAAATGATTAATAGATAAGGTGGACAAAAATACCCTTTAGTTGGTGAAATTATTGATAAGCTGCGTTAACTTTAAAGGGTACCTGACGTTGCTCTTTGCACAATTATCAATAGTTTACCTTAATTAGCATTTGACATATATATCTAATTAGAGCTTGAAATAGATTTTTTTTCAAGAGAGAAAGTATTTGAAGAGGTAACGTATGTGGCATAGGATATTCAGACGTACCAACCAGTTAGCATGTTGTCAAAGAGTTAAAGATATATCTTTATTTGAATCTGTCCTCTCTGGGGTGATACAGTATACATAATCCCTGCATGGCTCTGCAAACTGAAAAGTAGGTAAAAGTATAGAAGAACTCTAGTATGTCAGTTTTTTTTATAATCACATTAGTTCAACACTTGCATACTTCTTAAATTTTATATAACATAAAAAAAATTGCAGATTTAGTCATAGAAAGCAGTTAGTTTCATTGCCCTGCTGTGACAGGGTAAACAGACACTTCCTTTGGCATGTTGCATCAAGGACTTCAGGAGCAGATGTTGCACATGTGCCAAACTGAATCATATCTACTGTGTCTCCATGCTTCACAGAGGAGATCCTTATTCATCTCCACACTCAATTCGACAGTTCACCGAAGAGATTGCACTCTGCAATCAGGCACGCTTCTATACTTCATAGAAGAGAAGATATTCCTCTCGGCATGCTCATCACATTTTTTTCTACCAAACTTATTGCTTATGGGAGGCTCCAGAAAGATCAATTTTTTCATTGCGCTACAAATCATGGCCTCTGCAGAAGTTCTTCTTCTCTGTGTTACAATGTCAAGACAGGCCTTATGCAGCGAGAGCTGAATGCTCGCTGTATCTCAATGAGGGCATGGTTTCATGAATCATGGAGGCTGCCTATCATCACCTTTAGTTTGGGTTCAGCCTTCAGAACCTCACCTCTTACTGTCCAATATGTGTAGCCAAACTTTTTTGCAGGCAAGTCGATGAGCACCAATTTTAAAAGTCTATTTTTTATCTTGATCTTAACCTCTCAAATTTCATTTTTGAGATTTACTCATACACTCCATAATTTTTTAAAGCCTTACAGATGACTTTCCCCATGATAATTACCTTTATTATGAAGCTACAGATCAGCCTAGTGATATTGTCGAATGTAATATTCCTATTCACTGGATTTCACATGCTTGCCATAATTAATAGTTAAAAACCCTGTTAATTTCAACCTATCTTTGAGCTTCCTTTTCTTCTACACAGCAGAGGGAATATCAGCAAGGTTCATTTGTCCTTAAGGGACTGTCTATGTGTGGCAGTAGTGCAATATGTTGTATACAATTTGTATTATCAGCTGACATGTAAAAATGCAGGTGAACATTGTGATTTTGCAAAGCATTAAGCTATGACATGCAAGGGGGGCACATATTCAACCATGTTATCCATCTTTAAATGGTCAATGACACACTTTGTGGAACCTTGCCTCCCCCAACACACACACACACACACACACACACACACACACACACACACACCGAAAAATAATGAGAGAAAGGAACTACCACCTTTGAGCTTAATTTACTTGTGTTCTTATCACAGACAGTTTTTCATGTGGATGAGATATATAACTACACAATCATTAAATGTATCTGTGGGGTAATTAAAAGACTGAAGTGACTGACATGGAATATGTATAGGGAGCAAGTCCTCTCAGGTATATATGATTCAGACTGAAATAGAGAAGCCTCAGTTTACATTTTCATTGTCCCAGTGATGAAAGAAGAACTTCAAAGGAACAACAACACTCTCTAAGCACCTTGTTTAAAATAACTAATGTATTCAGTGGAACTGCATGGCATTTTATATTCCTGTGTTCCCCAGACATTGAAAAGTACTTTCAAACTTTCTGTTCATTTCAGGGAGTTATGAAATAAATTCCCCCTGAAGCAATGGATTCAAAATCTGTATTGACAGAATTTACAGTGTCTTTGTGCTGTCTTGAGTGACGTATTGTAATTATCACAATGGTGATAAATGAAATGGCTTAAACTTATTACATGTGGGTGTGGGTGATTTTTCCTTATCATGACTGATTAATGCCCTCATGATGTGTCCTGGACCATTATATAATAGGCTGTGTCCAATATTTCTGGGTGTAGACCATGTCCAATACTTATTTTATTGCAATCTGCACAGCTTTCAAAATATGTGGTTATGTGTGCTTTACAGTTACTATATGGCCAATCACTTAATTAAGCCCACTCTGTAGCGGAGCGAGCGGGGGGGCAGACGGTGCAGCTGCCCCGGGCCCACGGTTCTTCCAGTTACAGAGGGGCCCACCTTGGGCCCAATCTGCCTGACTGAACATGCATTTTTGTTGTTTAGTTGAATATTTTGAATAAAGTTTGTTTGTGTGTCTTGACTGCGGCAAAAAATAAAAAGTCAGACTGAGGGCGTAATGGTTTCGACTGACCCCTAGCTATAGTTTCTTGCCGCGATATTTTATTTGGAATGAGCAGAGACAAAATAGAGTTACAGAAAACTTTATTCGCTGTCCAGTATCCTTGTGTAAGTGTACAAACAGAAAAATTACACCCTCTGTTCGAATCCCAAAGTAGGAACCAGGCGATCGCCGGCTGTCTTGTTTTATTTCCCATCACCGTAACTGCTGACAGAACTGCGGTATTTAAAAATGGTCTCACGCAATGAGGTGTGCTGACATAGCACACCTAGATTTACATTTACATTTATTTATTTAGCAGACACTTTTATCCAAAGTGACGTACAGAAGTGCATACAGTAAGTATAGCGACAGTACGGGGACAGGATGTGTACAGTTCCACAATGAGACAGTAGTTCTCCGTTGAGAGCAGAGTCTGTTTGAGGACGCAGTACTAGCTAATTTATACAACTACAGGGTATAGGGCAACTAACAAGATCCGAATTCAAAAACAACGCAATGAGTGTCAAAGTAAAGACGATAACAACAAAAGACAAAGCAGTTTTTTACACCTAATCTGCATTTCTCTCTGTTCCGCCCTTCCGTCTCAGTAGGTTTTCCCTTGGATCTGTCTTGCATCTCCATACAGCCTATAATGGGCTGTATAAAGGCCCACTACAGGTCCTCGCCCCCTCTGCAATGAGCCACTGGCTCCGCCCCTGAGCCCACTGCATTGAACAAGTCATTTCTGCATTCATAAAATATGAAAAAAATGTAGTAAAAGAATGATCTATATATCTATAAATTTATTAGCAGTTCCTCACCTGAGGATCTGAACTGCCACCTCCTGGTTACAATTCAAGATCCTGGACCACCATGTCACACTATCATCATGCCTACTAAGACCTTTTGGTATAGCACAAAGGGTCTCAGAGACATCTATGGTGACTGAGAGAATGCTTGCATGCAAGAGATAGATGCAGTGTGTGGGTTTAGTTTTATGCTTAGCAAAGCGGTAAGGATTGAATTGGCTCCTTGCTGACAGTACTATGCTAATCTTTCTGGGACCTCACACTGTGTGTCCGGGCTTCTGAAACTATGATTACCTCTGCAGAAATGGTTTTCACTTCCTAATGACCATTCGAAAACCTGCAGTGTCACAGGCACAAATGTAATTGCAAGTCATCAAGAATATTGGGACGGATCAAAAGTTGTTTAGCGCCCTCGTCCAGTGAATATGTACGTTATGGATGGCAGGCTCACGCTGGCAGGAATCTGTGTGTTTATATTGCAGTGTCAGAGTAATTTTTTGGGGTCTGTTTTTCCTCAGTGTGGTGCTTAGCTATAGGGGATGCTTATTAATATATATTGAGAGGAATGCGGGGGATGCTGCTCAGTTTGTACCTCTGTCAGGGCAGCACTTAAAAGAAATTGGTACCTGAACTGCAAACTGCCACCGGTGTTTATCAATGCCATAACAGTTTCAACAGGTCAACCTGACCTTCATACACTTTGGGAATTGTCTGTGCTTCCACCTTAAATGGATACAACAAACAGTTTGTTGAAACATTTAATGCTTTTTTATTGCCACCCCTGAGAGGAAGTATTGGGATGATGTGTTTGTGTCACTGTCATGTTAGTGACCCCACTTGGAAATGGATTGACCTGTTTTTTAAAAACCTTTCATGATATGATCCCAATTTAGCTAGTCTCCCAAAAAGCGGATCATAGGATATAACTCCTCCACTTGAAAATGATAGACAGCAAAGGCTCCTTTTTAAGATCTGTGGTGAATTGAACATAGGGTCCAGAGAATGCATTGACAATTAACCGTCACCACATCAGCCTCTCGTATTTGCTGTCAGTCCATATGTTAGCTAGCCAGATTCAGAGCCTGAGTCGATGGTGAGGCGAGTCATCCGTGTGACCTCAAGGCCGGGAAACGGGAGTGGTGAGAACTGCGAATTTGTTTTGTCTCTTTATTGACTTGTCTAATGGCTGAACCTTGGGCACAAGTCCTCTGGCAGAGATGGATCTCAAGCTGTCAAGGTCCCGGTGTCGTGGCGTGCATTACCATTTCAGCGGATCGTGTCAACACCGCAGGGTGACTCCATGGCAGAGTGGTTTTT